AAGAAAGAAAGAAAGAAAGAAAGAAAGAAAGAAAGAAAGAAAGAAAGAAAGAAAGAAAGAAAGAAAGAAAGAAAGAAAGAAAGAAAGAAAGAGAACGACTGTCACTGTTGGGTTCTTCTGGGGGCCCTGGTCCCCGCTAAGAAAGAGGCTCTATAAGCTTGGCCCATCAAGCGCAGAGACAGCTGCCTTTGGGATTGCGCCTTTCCCCTCCCCCTTCCCTCCTCCATTCCTTCCCCTCCCTCCCTGGTTTACGAGTCATTCATCCCGCTTAGCTGTCCCCAACCTGGCGCCCTCCACAGCTGTTGCACTACAACTCCCTTTACTCTTCGGCTGGCAGGATGCGAAAATCGTCGCCCAGCGCACCTGATCTAATGTAACTTACCATTCAACTCGAGAGAGTGAGGAGCGAGACTGAGTCTGGATTCCCAGAGACTTCCTTCCAAGTTTCGGCGGCTACAGTTAATCCTCTTGAAGCATCGCTGCCTCTCTCTACTTCTCTGCCTTCTGTCCTCTGATGGGCAAGAGGGAAACCGCAGAAAGGGAGGGGGCGTGTGGGATAAGACAGCAGAGCGACTGGTTGTCTGCCTAACTTAAGGGGGGGGTGGAAATCCGCTCAAATTACAAAAAGGAAAAAAAAGTTTGCAGAAAGTAGAGCCTGCCAGGGAGTGTAGAGACACCGAGAGCAAGGGAAATAGAAGAGCGGGCTCTTTAGGTGGGAACAGCTCCAGCCGATCAGAGCAGCAGCAGGTGAGAGCTAGCTGTGTTCTTCCGAGGTTTCAGAGTTTCTATCTTCACCGAGCTGCTTCTGACGTCCGTTGGTATTTTCACCGCTCTTCTTTTCTGTGTCTTCCAAGTTGAGGAGCCGCTGACATCCACCCGCCTTCTCAGCTATCAGATCTTTTGCACACTTGGCTTTCTGATCAACAGCTCTCGGTTGCACACAGGAAGCCCCCCCCCTCTCTCTTTCTCTCTCTCTTTCTCTCTCTCTCTCTCTGTCTCTCTCTCTCTTGTTGTCTTGCCGAGTGTCTAGCTTATTTTCCTTCGCTGTTGATGTGGCATTCGGATTTTTATTTGCCGATGACTTTTCATTTTTGTTGTTGCAGTCACGTAATAATCGGTATCAGAAAAGACGTCACCACTCCAATTCCTCAAGGGACATAACGACTCTATGTCCAAGATGATGCGAACAGGAGTCATAAGCTTCTCATAAGCACTTGCTTTAAGTTGCACTTCCTCCCTCCCCCTCCCCGCGACCCCTTCCGTAGCCTTTTCAAACTAAAGTTTCAGTGAAATGCCTTTCTCAAATTTCACTTTTCTTCTCGAATTTCATTACATTGAATTATATATTTATTTATTAAATTTATTTTAGACTGTTTTTACTGCCTGTAAGCTGCCTAGAGTAGCTGAGAGCGAGAGGGTGGCCATATAAATTTTCTTAGTAAAATAAATAAATTTAAAGAAACTCTCTTGCTCCCAAACCTCTTATTGAAAGCAGGATGGGTGGTGAGGATCGAATTTAATGGAAATTAATTTCAAATAAAATTCAAATAAATCATATCTTCCCAACTAAGTGACTTTTTTCTTCTTCTTTTTAAACTGAAAACCTGCCACAATTCCTAAATACTGTGTTCTTGACTATAAAATCAAAACATCTTGGAAACCGTTTGCTGGTTCAGTTAAATACTGTAAAGAGGATTATTGCTCTTGTTCTTACTATAATCAGTATTATTAGTTTTCAGGAAACTGTTTGAATCTGTAGATTCTTAGGATATTTCTAATTAGGAATGGCAATGGACAGTTTCTAGCCAGGGGGTGAATTTATCAATAGCTAGGTAGGAGAACAATTTCTTTCTTGGTAGAACTGTCCAAGCACAGTGGTGCTGAACTGGCTTTGGCAAACAAACAAGTACCTCGGGCAAAGAATGCCTTACCGAGCTCCAATATTGGCAGGCAAAGCAATGTTAGAAATTTATCATCTGTAAATTCTATAAGCCTAGTCCGTCTTATTGAAATTATATTTGTTTCAAATTCTTCAAAGTGATTTGAAAAAAAAGATTTTAAAAAAATATATTCCACGTGGCACTCCAGATTCAAAATAGGTTTTATCCTTTTAGATTGGAGGAAAATTGCACCAGATTTTATGCTTTTAAAAAGACTCCTTTGTAACACATAATGAAATATTTTTAACAAGCAATTATTTCTATGATAGAAATAATAATGTTAAAAATAGGGAAATATGAACAAGAAAAAAATTATTAGAATGATATGAATGCTAGTTATAAACGTCTATCCTGTTGTCTATACAAAAGCAATTTTGCAGTTTGAATACTTTTCAAATCAGCACACAGATTTTTCTTAAATGGTCAAATCCAGGAAAATTCTTCAGGAAAGCCTTCAAGACTTCATGATCTATTGCTTGGTCACCATCCCTTGACACCAACTATGAGCAAACATCCTTTTAAATCTAATTTTCAAATAATTTTCTATTGTTCATTTGCTTTCCTTTCAAAAGTATAGATTTATTTTAAATTTTAGAAAAGTGAGAAAAGGATGTTTGCTCATTTTAAGGTGATGAAAACCAAGAATGAAAAGCCACCAGGCTTTTCCTTTCTGATTCAATTATTTGGCAATTGAACAAGGGAGAAAGAAGGGCCTCTTGGAACTTAAAACACAATTTTCTGTTTTCCAGTAGTGAAAGAAATATACCGGTAACTATAACAATACTTGTAAAATAATAATAGTAATAACAACAGAGTTCAACCAAGCAATCCTCTAATTGGTGTTTAAAATTTTTGTGTTTCAAAAGATTATAAACTTTTTTTTCTTAAGGGTGTATTGAGAGGTTCATGCAAATCTGAAGTTTTTTCTCATAAGAATCAGTGAAATTCTTGTGCCATTGCCCTAGCTTTCTTTTCTAAGATTTGTATAGATTTTCAGGATCATGGAATCCTTCATGGAATATTTCACTACCAAATAAAGCTCTTGTAAGCTGCCTCTGCCACCTTGTGGGTAATTTAAAATCTGCATGGTTGAATACTGCTTCAAAATCTGCTATCTCCACCACCACCAACGTGTTGAAGATGCTTAAGTCCATGTCAGTTCTGTTCATGCTTTCTTATCACTATTGTTCACAATTAATAATTTCATCACTCCTGTACTACTCTTGTACTAGATATCTGGAATAAAACTGTGGAATAAAACAGAAGTTCAAAAATCAAACACAGAGGTTTTTTTTTCTGAGATTGCTCAGAAACCTTCCTGTTTGGGTAAATATTTGGACTATACAATTATTGTGTTGATCATAAGTATATTCATCTATATTGTTTTTGTTTTTATGATTGCCTATCAAATTTTCACTGCATATGGGTTTTTGTCACTTTCAACCTGAAAAGTTGATTTTCTGGAGTTATGTCTTATTATTTTTTGTTAATCTGAGAATGATTTATAAAAAGTGAAAATATCTAATAAAATTAAAAACATAAAATATTCACAAATATTTATTATAAAAAGCAAAACATAAAATCAAGATCAGTCTCTTACATAAAACAATATAATAAAAAATAACAATGATGAAAAAAGATAGTCCTAAATGTGCTCATTTATGAGCAGGTCTCACCAAATGCAGTAGGAGTCCCTATTCAGCAAACAGGCATAAAACTATAGATATTCAAGTTATTTTTAAACAAGCTTTGTTCAATATGCACAGAAAAAGATTTTAAATTTGGAAGAAAAAAGTCAAAGCAGAATAAAGATTACTCTTTAGAAGGCACAAATTTATATTTCATTAGGAAGACATAATCAGATACACATAATTATTCATAATCATATGTTTAATTAGGCACACATGTGGTGTCATTAGACATTCAGGATTGTTTAGAAATTCGAATGAAGATGCAGTTTGAAATCACAGTGAAAATTGTCTTCCATTTCTTTCTGATTATAAACTGCCAATTGAAGCAATATCTCTTCAGTGTTTCATTTTACTTTGTTTCGTCTACTTTGTTTCATTTTTGTACAGGCCTTTTAGAAAACTGAAAACAAAAAAGGATTTTTGGGACAAACATAAAGAAGTAGAACCTTTTGTGATATTTGTACTGCAGTATTCGTATAGGGAAAGAAGTAGTAAACCTGGCCCCTCAAACAGAGTTCATGAGCTTCCCTTTAATAAGACAAATCATGAAATGAAATGTGACATGTTAAAAGACACAGAAAAGCAATGCAGAATCATCTAGATCACTGGTGTCAAACTTGCCACATCACATTGCCGTCACATGATGTATTGCAATGCTTTTCCCTTCGTGGAGCTGGGATGGGTGTGGCCTGCGCATGACACATCCAGTCTGCGGGCCACCAGTTTGACACCCCTGATCTAGATGTATCTCAGTATCTGTCTCTGTTTCTCTCTTTCATACACACACATATACACACAAGCATACAGACACACAAAGTCTCATAGTGCTTTCATACCTTTTTCCTTAATCCCCTATCAAAACATTTTCTTTTATCTCAGTCTGTTCACTAATTCACCAGTCTCTTTTCCCAAGAAATCCTGCTACAAGCCAACTATTAAAAGTACATGTGGTCTGCATTACTGCTATAAGAAAAAAAATGTTTTTGTTTGTTTAATATAAACCAATTTTCAGGATAAATGGTGGAGCTCTGTTGCACTAACTCTTGGTTCATATGTAGCGGTCCCCTATATTTTCCTGTAGGCATTAACCTGATCTCTTGACTGAAAGTGGAATAAACAGCAGAAATGAAAGCTTGAATATTAAAAAATAATAATTCCCAAATGGAGATATTATTATTATTATTATTATTATTATTATTATTATTATTATTATTATTATTATTATTATCCCACCATTTCTTAGAGTAAAGGAAGTTGTGGTCAGGGAATTCTCAATATAGCCAAATGTTTGCTGGGTTGCAAAGTCTTCACTTTGCTAGATAATCCATGTGAATTGGTTTTTCCACAGGATTGCTATAAAAATGCCTCAGCCGTGCAACCTTTTTTCTTTCAAAATAGATTAGAAGTCAGAATATCATCTGAACCATCATCATGACATATTAAGTTTGGAATACCAACATTTATTTATCTTTCCTATCCTTTAGAGGACTGAATGAAATTATGAAGTACTCAAGAACCTCCTAGAAATTGCTTTTCATTCCAGTAAATCAGACTATCAATACCCATGTTCTACTTCAGCCTAAATGTATCACAATACTACTTCAGTTTTGATTATTGTTCTGAACTTTTGAGGCCAAATTGTTTTTCCTCCTGTCTTAGTATCCCTTTATGATCCCAGCTTAGCTGTAAAACAAAAAGATACCAGTTTTCCTATTGTTCTGCCAAGTTCAAACCGTCTCATACCTTTTTTATTTGCTTCCACATTAAAGCATCTCATTGGATCCAAATTTTGGTTCTCTATATTAAAGGATTGATCCTATTAAATCCCTACTTCATTTTTTGGGGGTATCTTGAAAGTAGCAGAATTCTATATTTGCCTTGCTTTTGAATGCAGCAGTAATAGTAAAACCAAGAATTTAGAAAGTTTTGAAACATAATCTTTAAGAAAGTGCAATCACTTTCATCAGCAACTTAATTTGTCTCCAGTATTTGAAATATGATTCTTTACAATGATAGAGATCTCTGTTTAGTCCTGTCATTATTGCTTCAAGTACTTATGTACAGAACCCTTTTTTATATATACTATCTATTGAACGTTCATGAGCAATGATAGTCTATAAGTAGTTAAGGCTTTTACTTTTTATAAATCATAATGAACATTTAGTGTTTATTTTTATATTTTAATTTAATGTTTTCATTTAACTATGTGTGACCAAAATAGAACTGGTAATTGTGAATTTACAGTAAAATGTTCATTAAAATATTTGTTCAAAACCTTTTCCTTGTTTTTAAATATCAAGATTCTACGTATCATGATGCCAGCAATGATAGCACTGCCAGGAACTGAACCACTGAGCATTAGATTTATAATTAATTATTTTTATGTAATTGTGAGGTT